TTGTGGCGCGCGGGCGCTACAGTCGTATCCGACGCACTATACTACTGTTGCACGCGGCTTTACATACTACCGTAGTACCAGAGATCTCTCCATGTGGCTCTGACGAGAGTTCCTCTCTCACGGTGTCTCCAAAAGGATTCTTTAAGATCAAGGAAATTCTCTTAATATTTTACTTATCTCTTAAACAACTTTGTTTCATTATGATAATGGATTTTCTTTTAATTTTTTGTACACAATTATGACTATACATATTAAAGATTGATAATTGCAGTATAATGTCAATATTCATAATAAAATTAATGAGTTCTTCTAGACTTTAATCATTTTATTATAATTAGTTGTACATATTTCCTTAAACAGTAATGTTTTGGGAATAGGAATAAGCTACAGTTTAACACACCGAAGTTACAACGTCTTTAAAAATTTAAATAAATAAGTTAATTAAATAAAAAATTTATTATTATTTCCAGACTGAATATAAATTTAGATTGATTGCGTTTTCTATTCAATGATCAAATAATGTTTTATAGCTCAGAAAGTTTTCTTACCTTTTAATTTTTGTATGATTATACTTATTTTTTAAAATTTTAATCCTAAGAATAAATAGTTTCTCCAACTTAATTCGATTCTTATCACACAGGAAGAAGATATGAGATACTTTGCTTACAAGAATATCAACAAAACTCACGTCTCCATTGTACTAGCACAATTACTAGAAGAGTTAGTGGATACCGATGAACCTATTACTTTGCTTAAATTTCGCCTGCTTTGTAATCACGTGGATAGCACAAACTCCTCAGTAAGTACTTCCAGTTGTACATTTTACCTTCTCTGTAATTTGCCAAATTTGGAACATGATACACTTATCAAAATATTTATTATTTTCTTGAAGATAGATATATATTTAGCATAAGAATTAGCATAAATGAAGTAGAGATTGAAAATTTTAAAATGAAAGCCTTAAAACAATAATATATAGTTTATATACGTTTTACTCCACTTTCAATATACTCACGAAGGTTAAATGAATGATGCGCATTTTTTATTCTCTGCATAATGCTTGTAAACTTAGTATGTAGCAGGATATCAATCTACTTGGTACGTGTCAACCTAGTGTATGTTTTGACTTTACTCATGAATTATTTTCTGTATACCTTATGTCATTTCGTTAGTATGTACTGTGGAAAAATTATATAAATAATTTTGTTAGTCGTGTTCGAGTTAACTACGTTAATTTCATTCCATTTTTCAAATTGGTATTTGCCTGGCCATATAACACCATTAATTTTTCCTGATTCATAGGATAAGTTTAAATATTATAAGGCTTTTACATTGACAAACTTCGTTGATACCATCCGATTATATAAGGGATTATAATTTTGCAGCTAGAATCTTTTAGTGATGTAGGTGTTGTGACGGAAATAAGTTTCATTTTTTTTATGTAAGTGCAATTTTATGTGAACTAATTGTAAAACGAAACTGTTTTTTATTGATAAATGTTTTTACTCTGGCAATATTTACATTATAACATTGTTTACTAAAAAAAGAGTGTTGGCTTAACAATGTTTAAAACAATATTTTTCTTCTTTCCGATAGAATGACTAGAAAAGTTTTACAAGATACGATTAGAAAGCATACAGATTTTAAATACTAATCAAAAATTTTTCCTTCCTTTTCTATTAGAATAGGTAGGTATTTAAGTTTATTATCATTTTATTATTTATGTTGCAGGAGTTAAAAATCTATAATAAACGTGGTTACTTTTTTTTTAATTTAAATATAAAATTAAAACAACAAAAGCAGCTCCACGAATGAAAATTTTTTTTTTATTTTTTAAATCTGGATCATTATTATTGATGTGTGATTTTAAAACATTAATGCAAGACTTTTAGTTATTGTATTTTATCTGAGGAACTGTGTGTATGTAGGTATGCATGTATTTATTTTCTAAGCAATATATGTATATATATAGATTGCTCAGAGAAAAATAAGATTAACTAAAATTTTTCAATCTAATTTCAAATAGAGAAATATGAGTTAAGCTTTTCTTTATCCAAGCCATCGACGTATACGGGTTATTTCACAAAAACTGCGATGTTTTCACGCCTAAATTGAGATTTTTCCAATAAAATATTTAGAACTTTTAAATTTTTTTTTAGTTTTTTAAAGTTATACAATGTCGAAAATAGTTGGAAACTTTTGGGTTCAGCTTTACGACAATTTATTAATAACCTATGTTAATTTAAATGTAATTTTTAAAAAATTCAAACAGAGCTTTACGGTAACAACAGACTTGTCATTACCGTAACGGTACTTCTTTGAGATTGTAAAGCTCCAAGGTAAAACTGTCAACAAAATTTGGTTTGTCACATCTGCACTCTACACCTTTTCGAAAACTATAGTCGGAGATTCGGGGAGTTAGGTTATGACCGCCTATTTTACCGGGAATAACGCTCTGTATTTTCGACGATACTAAAAATAGCCAAATTAAAATTTAGGGCTGCAAAAAATTTTCAGTGTTCTTGCACACTTCAGAATACAAAACGGTTCATTCCAAAAGTCCGAAAATTAATCACTTGACCAATTAAATCATTCGTGGTGCGCAATTTAAAAATGTCAAAAGTAGGCTTCACAAATAAAACTTTCCGTTCTTGAAATTAAAATTTTTTTTTGGTTCTAAACTGCGAGATAAATTGCTCAACACCTTATACTTTTGGATAGTACATCGTGGAAAAATTAAAAAATCAACGTCTAGGTACTAGAAGCTGCAACAAACGAAATTTTCAAATTCTTTGCATTATGGTAACAGCATTTTGACCTGTTTTTTCAGCTTTACGGCCACGCAATAATTTTTTTCACACGCTCTCAAAATTGCAATTAGAAAGAATTGGTATACACCGTTTAAAAAAGTTCTGACTTGAAATCATTCGATCCGTTGTTTTTAAACATAGGCTTCATGGAATATCGCATTTTTTGTGAATGTGACCTATATATATAATGAGCTATTTACAAGAGAAACAATACAGCATAAAGGGACATTGTCATGGTAAATATTTGTATGGTACACCTTACAAATGAAAACCATTGTTATAAAAATCATGTTAGATGCTGTTGCTTTCTTTTTGTACTGGACGGAGTGAACTTTTTTGGACAATTTTATACGTATTTGTATGTATAAGTAAGCAATGTATCCAAATTGTATATTCGTGTTTGAAGAACCAGTGGAAAATAGGTGCTCGGGTGTCCAAGTTTAAGGTTTTTCTTCTATGAAATCAGATAGCAGACAAATGTCATTATGAATATTTATAAATCTTCTATAAAACGATATTGTAACGTTGGAATGAGCATACCTAAATTTATTGGGTGTGGTTTCAATTAATATTTTAATACTTAATCAATGAACCTACGCTGATAACATCTCTAGCATCACGCTGACATCTATCACAAACGCTCACACACTTATTCCTAGTCAATATTTACTACCCAAAATTAAATTTTATCTTAAAGCTTAAGGACGTTCGTTAAAGTAAGAGGGGAAATAAAAAGAGTGCAGTATGGGGGGAGCAACCATACGGCAGTATCGGCTACTGTTTTTCATCCATTTTTATGTGACTCTTTCTTAAGGTTATGTGTTAAGTTGAAGTTTTTTCAACATTTAATATTTAAAAAATAGTGTCGCGAAACAGTCTTTAATTTTACATGTGACTTTCTAAGATCATTACAAATATCCTGTTAAAATTTCAGAAAGATTCTACCCAAAGCGCTATGCGTAATGAATGTCCTTATGAAGAACCATCCTGTCGTACCACTTTCTTTGATAGGGTGGTATTACATGCCAGTGAATGTCTCTTCAGGATGCTCATTACATATAGGTTTTTTCGTGAAGTATTATTTAAAAATACAACGTATCTTGAAAATAGCATCAAACGTACCCAAAAAAATTGCTCTTTAAATTGTATTTGTTTTTATGTTTCCTTTTAAAAAATTTCAATTTGAAATGTAATATCAGGAAAGAATGACGTAAAATTTTATTAGATGATCTGTTAATATCTTCCAAATTTTTTTGTGTAAAATATTACTTTCAGATTAATTTATAATATTTTTGAGGAAATCCACAAGTTGTTTTTTTTTAATAACACATGAAAGAAAAGGTCAAGTATGCGTTAGAGCGTGTATGTAAGTATGTTTAAACGAAACAAATAATTTCCAGCGTTGTTGCATATATTTGCGCTCTGAAGAGGAAGTAACATGTAAAATACATTTCCGTTACACATTTTCTCAAGGTCACTAATCTGAAATTGTTGATTTACTCCCGCACATAACGTGCTTATAGAAGTATAACTTTAAAAACATTCGGTAACAGCCCTTCTCGGTTGAGATTTGAGGACCCATTGTTAAAAATACTTTTGCATATTTTCATTTGTTTTGTAAAAAATTTATCTGATTAATGATTAATATTTTAGTATGGTTGATATTTTAGTAAATTCAAGTAATGATCAGTAGTTTTACAGGATATTACATTCTTAGAGTGGCCATTAATTTTAAGATAAAAGAGACAGAATTATACTTTTTTAAGATTGTTGGAAAATTTTCTTTATGTAAGGAGAAAGGTCAATTATTATTTCCCAGTGAAACAGTGTTCATAACCACTGTGTACTGTCGTGATGTAACCTTTTGAGTTTAGCCACGTATTTCAATTCTAATACGTATTGAGCCAATGATAATGTTTTGTTTTTTATGTATAAATGAGGTAACTTAACTTATTACACAACTCTTTGAAGGGAAAAAATTTCTTTGACACAAAAAGAACCCTTTTTTNGTACTAAGTATAAGGTTTATCTATACTCACTAAGGTACTTTAAAGTATACTACCGTACCAAATATACCTGTACCAGTACACATTTTTCTTGTACAGAGTATCGAAAATACTTGTACTAACATATAGTACCTGTTTTTCTGGTAACAACAATCTTCCGTGCAAGGAGAACTTCATGCAAATATCTAATGACTTTTAAAAAAAATGCGATTATCCATACTGTCTTGGGGCAATTGACTGTCGCCACATTGCCATTAAGAAACCTGCACAGTCTGGCTCCTTGTATTACAATTACAAAGGATATTTTTCAATAGTGTCGCAAGCTGTCGTTGACGAAAACTATAAATATATATGCATTGACGTAGGCAATTATGGTCACCAAAGTGATGGCGGTACACTCCAGGCTTCTTATTTTTACAGAGCTTTGATTAACCAAAAGTTGAGCATTTTGGGACCGAGTACTCTACCAAACTCAGTGGTATTAGTACCCCATGTGTTCGTGGCGGACGGCGCTTATTCACTTGAAAGGCACGTTATAAAACCATTAAGAGGTAGACAGTCATCACGAGAAGAACAAACATTCAATAAAAAAATATCGCGAGCTCGTGTAGTTGTGGAGAACGCATTTGCATATACGTCACAAAAATGGAGGATATTGTACACTACTATAGAACAGTCTCCGGAAGAAGCGGCTTTAATTGTTCAGGTGACATGTTTACTCCACAATATTTGGATAGACCGTGAATGCAAAAAGATTCATGAAAACTAAAAAAGTGCTCTTAATGACAGTCTTCATAAGCCTGTTTTTTAGGAAGGAAACGGTATATCAGTGCGGCTTAAGTATATGAATTATTTTGTAAATAATCCAGTGATTAATTTATAATCGAGTAGTAATGAGTGGAACAATCACACTAATTTACACGAACATAGAAATTTATTAGGCGTATGTACTTTTTACCGTCTTGAAAAAATAAACAAAAAAA